TGTTTTTTCATCGCCTTTGAACATCGCTTGCTAACCGATACTCTTGTCCGATCCTGCACGTGCTGTCTGTCATTCAGCTCGTAGTGCTGGGGAGATAAGTGAGGTTGCTTTGTCACGCTATCGCTGGAAGTCGCATGGGCTAACCAAACGCAAGGCAGTGTTCCCCCATTAATGCCATCACGAGTTGTTTGTATTTGAGTAATAGCTCTGGTTCAATTGCAAGTCACCACGGTTAACTTACTTTCGCTAGGAACAACAACATTAATAGGGATTTTAGTTGCAGTAGTTAACTGATAATAATTTCAAAACTTTGATAACTGGCCACTTAATAAGGGACAGCCATATAATAGGTGGCCCCTTAATAGAGGTTCAACTGTATCTCTAAAAAACATAGCAGATGGATCCTACCCATCTTCAAACACAGTCTAATTCAGCACAACAAGACCACTGGACCTTAACTTGAGAAATAAAGAAATCCATTATCTTTATATGAATGATTGACAGTTTTTTAATGATAATTGTGATTTCCATTCTCCAGAATCTTGATGAGATTGACGAGACTTTAACTGAAAGACTCGTGGGTCTGACAGAGATGTTTCCAGAGTCTGTGCGGAAAGGCACGAGTACTGCTGCAAAGGGGATGGTTAGTGGTGCTAAGTGGCTTTACAGCTTCACTGGAAAAACAATATGGATTTTGAGTACATCATTTGTAATACTCGCTTTGCCAGTTATCTTTGAAGTGGAAAGAGTCCAAACAGAGGAGGCACAACTTCAACAGCAGAGACAAGTGAGTTGTATATACCAGAATGTAGCTACAGGAACCAATGCAGACCTATTGACAAGCTCAGTAAGCTTTTTTGGACCGTATACTTTCATGTATTATTGCCTCATCTTTGTTTTGTAGTGAAATTTTCAGCCAGTGACAAGCTTTCCCTAAACTGGTGAAATCAGCCAGTAGTTGGCTCATCCCCGGTGAAAGTCATTTATATCCTCAAGACCTACCAAAGTTCTTTTTGGAGATGCCTTCATTTATGTCCACATTCAGTGCTTTCCAGTCAATAAACTGCTTCTTGCCACAGTGAGCTGGAAGACTTTTTTGGGGCATTATCACTTGACAAATGACATCATCACACCAACATTCAGATGTTATTAATTTTATGAAAGTGTTATTGCAGAAGGTGTACAGTTGTTAGTAGCACCTTCCCCGAAGTTGAATTGGCAAACCTCTTTGGCATTCAAAATTTTTAGCTGCAAAGGATATTGGGAACATTCTTATTATAATACATAACCCATATTAAAAGAGAAAACATTTCTTGACAAACCTCTTTTAAAACAGTATGGGATGGTATATAAATCGTGAAAACTTGTTTTTGTTTCTTGACAGATACTTCTTGGCCCTGGAAGTACAGGTGCTGGAATGGGACTGCCTCCAGTATACCCTGCTTCTCAATCACAACGAAATTAGAGCGCTAATTATTTTGTAAGAACATTCCTAACCATTTTATTAGATGTCACCAAACATGGCAAAACACAGTTGTATTTGAAGACATGAAGTGTGACGGATGTGACCAGACAGGATGTTAGCTTTGAGATGTATGTACATTAAAGAATGACCCTGAAATGGAATGTGTCTGTTATTGTATCTCACTTCATCAAAATGGAATACATCCATGGTGTAATGCCATTGCAAAGTCCCTTTCATCCCTATTAAGGTACTTTCCTGATTTTTGTTTTGTGTATTTCACGTTCAAACTTCTAAGAAAATTTTACAGTTGCCCTACATGTGAATTCTGGACATTTTGAGGGAGCGGGTATAGATATTGCACTATAAACCTGAGAGCGGGAACTTGACTACGAAGTAATGGGGATGTTTGTTTCAGTGCGAGCCAGATTGCAGTTATCACGGTGTAATACTTCATTCGAGCATTTTTTGTGTGTGTAGTGGTGTAATATCAACGGGATAAACTGAAGCATTTCTGTATTTCTGGACTCCATGATGGTAAGGGCAACCTTTTTGAACAGTTTTGTGACCCTTTTGTTTGTACTTAACTGACAGAGTTATACAGAGTTATACATGAATTGGTAAAAGTTCAATTGAGGCCTTTCACTACTGTAAAATGATATTAAAATCTTTTAAAAAATCCAAGCTTTCGCCGATCTACGGCATCATCAGGGATAAGAAACAATATTCCGCGTAAGGCTTATATACAGATGTAAAGTAAAAACGTGTGAAAACGTGTGAAAAAATGCATGAGATAAATAAGATACAAATATGAATAAAAACGAATGATATCATCTAATGAACGAGTGTCAAAGTACAAAGAGTCTCTAGATATGTTACAATAATTATTAGAATAAAAGGTCCGCGACTTCGCTGCATTCCTCTCGGGAGTTGAGGGCAGGTTTGTAGTTTCGCATGTAAAACACTTCGAACAGTCGTAGATTTGCGGGGTCGTTTTCTAGTACAATTGTCTTGATTTCGATGCCTTTGTGGACTTTGTTTTGGCACTTAGAAATGTGTTTCTTCACGGAGGAGTTGTCATTGTTCAGGTGTCCTCTTACACGATCGTCGATAAAGCGTGTAGTGCTCCCGATGTAGTATTAGGGAGCTTAAGCAAACCACGACGACGAGGGCAACGAAAACGTCACAAAACAAAAGGTTTAATGAGCAAAACAGTAGCTGTGCACGTGCGTTATAAATCTTTGTACACTTCTTTGCCGTCCTCTGCAAAACAACAACGTGAAATGACCAAGTTCTGCGTCGTCTATGGAACGTGGACGACGACGGCTAATTTTTCGTATTTCCATTTGGAATTGAACGCTGTCGTTGCACATTTAGCTTAAGCACGTTTTTAGAGCCATTTGCATACCCAACAGATCTAGACAGTCGCGAATTTCGTTTGTAAAATATAAATACATTTTTTTACGAGGCGTCGTCCTCGTCGTCGTTGCTTATTGCTATTAGGGAGTTTACGAAACCACGACGGCGACGCCGAGGACAACGTCGATTGAAAAATGGATTTATATTTTACCTGTGAATCTCGCGACACTCTAAAAACTCCGGAACACAGCGATAAATTTGAAATAAAATTTTAAAAATTAGCCGTCGTGGCTCACGTTCTCCAGGCAACGCAAAATTTGGTCATTTCACGTTGTTGTCTTGCAAAGGAAGGCAAAGAAATGTACCAAGAATTATAACGCACGTACACAGCCATTGTACTGCTCATTAATTCTTTTGTTCAGTGACGTTCCCGCTGCCGTTGCCGTCGTGGTTTCGTAAACTCCCTATTGATTGCAGTTGTTACACGTGATTTGGTATTCATATTCATGGCAGACTGGAAACCATCGCCCTCTCTTCACACTTACCTATAAGCCCCTACAGAAGATACGTTGACGACATTTATCTCCAGAAAACTGACGAGGAAATGGCAGACCAATTCCACTATACAATGAACAATCTGCACCCTAAATTAAAGTTTGAAACTGAGAAACCAGAAATAACACCCAATGGCCTCTCACTATCACTACTTGATTTCAATGTCACCATCTCCAAAGACGGCAAAAGCTCCTTTGAATTTTACAAAAAAAATAGCAAAGAAACCACTCTTCGTTCACCACCAATCAGCAATACCGGAAAAGTCAAAGATCAACCTCATTCGTAATGAGCAGAAACGTATCGACGATAAATGCTCTACAGAAACGACAGCCACAAAGCATCAAAACATGTTTGACGACGTCCTCCGTCTCAACGGGTATCCTGAAAGCACTATAGACAAAACTAAGCACTCCCAAAACGATCAGAAAGACCCTCGACCTCTCAACACAGAATGGTCGTACCTGAAGAGCCCATATATCTCCGAACGTCTCAACTACAGGATCACCAACATTTTCCGAAAAGAGGGTATACCAGTACGGGTCGCGCGTAAGTCATACACCCTCAAACGAGCTCTCTCAAAACAACACGGAACGGACATGCACGAGGGCCAACTGCCCTATCTCCAGCACCAAATTGTTCTTATTACGCAACGCTGTTTACCAAATCACGTGTAACAACTGCAATAATACTACATCGGGAGAACTACACTCTTTATCCACGAACAATGACAACTCCTCCGTGAAGAAACACATTTCTAAGTGCCAAAACAAAGTCCACAAAGGCATCGAAATCAAGACAATTGTACTAGAAAACGACCCCGCAAATCTACGACTGTTCGAAGCGTTTTACATGCGAAACTACAAACCTGCCCTCAACTCCCGAGAGGAATGCAGCGAAGTCGCGGACCTTTTATTCTAATAATTATTGTAACATATCTAGAGACTCTTTATACTTTGACACTCGTTCATTAGATGATATCATTCGTTTTTATTCATATTTGTATCTTATTTATCTCATGCATTTTACCCCCTACATTCTTTCGCTTTTCACACGTTTTTACTTTACATCTGTATATAAGCCTTACGCGGAATATTTTTTCTTATCCCTGATGATGCCGTAGATCGGCGAAAGCTTGGATTTTTTAAAAGATTTTAATATCATTTTACAGTAGTGAAAGGCCTCAATTGAACTTTTACCAATTCATTCAAAATGCTACTGAATGACAACATCCAACGATTAGAGTCATACATGTAGCACGTTTTATAGTGAGTACATGGCCTCTCAACTAATAACTTATTACTTATAACTCATAGCGGGAGGCTATGAGTTCAACTCCTAGTGAGGCCGGCACTTTTTCTTTTCTTTTTTACTTTTTTTTTCTTCTTCTTTATCTTTTACTTATTTCTTTTTCTTTACTTAAACATTTACCGAATGGCAGCGTTTGCCTTTCCGATGCGCTGTGATGAATTAAAAGCTGCATTCCCTCACAATTAATTCATTATTACAGGTTGGCGCAGGTAAAGGTAGCTGCCAGCCCCTCTGGTCAAAGTCGTGTTGTCCCTTAATTTTTAAACAAAAAAGTAATAAATAACTAGCAACTAATAATTAGCAATTAATAAATAATCTAGTCATTCCTTTTTGGGGCGGGCTTTGTCCCCACCCCTGGAAACATGAGTCCGTATGGAGTGTCGGAACAGGGTGGTCCAGTACTCCCCTCGGCGTTTCTGGCTCTAGGGACACCCCGAAGACTATGTATTCAAGCTTGGGTTGTAGGTTGTCTTTATATTTTCTGCAGTCAAAATTATCAAAAAGAAATAAATACTTGATCTGGGCTTTCGAGAACTAGTTGTACTTCTCAATAACTTGGAGGAAGGAACAACTGTGGACACAATATCGATTATGTCCGACCACGAATTGTATCAGATGAACCTCTATTTTCTGTTTAGCTTTTCTTTTGAATACTTTCTGTGAGAGAAAAAAAAATACGAAAATAATGCCACTAGCCATTGTTATCGTTTATTTTCCCTCAAGAATCAAAAGGCAAGAAGTAGTCTGTATGTCGAAATAATGCATCCTGTGATCCATTCCGCGGAGAAAGATCAGCCTGGTTTGGAATCTTGCTTCCTTGCGTCAAAATGGACTTGTGTACATACATGTAAGAAGGGTTTGAATGTTGTGTTTCTATTCTCTACATGAAAAAAATATAAAAAGAAATATCTAGTTATTGGGTTTTTCGAGAAAGGTATTAAAAAATTTTGGACTAGGATGACCTTACACTAAAATTTGTAGGGTTGTTACTCCGGGCTGTTGCTGAGTAACTGTGTACTTTCGGTTACGTGTGTATGGTTATGTAAGACTATGTAGGAGTATGTATTGCTTTCAGGAACAAGGAAGGCTGAAGGGCTATATCAGGTCAATGGTACGAAAACGTTTTGTTATGTACAGGGGTATACAGGCCTATATAATGCTTTGTAAAGCAATTTAATTTAGGGCTGTAGGGTCGTCGTACATGCAATATGTGCAAAATAGCCGTCTGTGACTATTTGTAGTTTTTGAATGGGCTTGTAAGACGTTTATTCCAGAATTAAAGCCTGGTTCTCATATCCCGCCGACCTACCTGCGACTTAGCCACCGGTTGCAACTGACAACGTTCGGCGATCTGTTCCAGTGGGTCCCCGGCGCATCTGGATTCAGAGCTTTTTCCTAGATCACCCTCGAGCTACAGCTTAAGGAACTCTGATTTTTACGTACCAAGAGTAAGAACTGTTAAGTATGGGAAACATTCCCTTCGCTTCCTTGGGCCATTGATGTGGTCGAAGTAAGACAATAGGGACAAGAAAGAAACGTCTTTGCAGCGATTTAAGGCGAACATCAGGGGAAGGAACCTCAGTGGACTTGTCGGAGGCGACACATGCAAAGGGTGTCACCTTTGCAACTCTTGAGCCGTAAACACTAGTTATAAGTATTATAAATATAGGTTCG